AAATAAAATTAATAAATAAAGAAATAGATAAATATCATAAAAATGATAATATATGAAAATAATATTTAAGAAATAGCATTAAAATAAAACATTTTATTTTTATTCTGCCATATCTTTTTTTTCTCCATATCTTACAGTGACATTACTTTCCATTTCTGTAACTAAGATATTTGAGTTTGCAAATAGCAATAATGAATGTTAAAAAAACTAGGGGAAAAAGCACTGTAATTATTTAAAAATTAATTTCATTTGTCTGCTTTTATATTTTTTCACCTTGTAATTGTTTCAGACATATTTAAATGCAAATCTCTTGAAAATTTATTTTTTTCTTTTTTGCTCTTACAGAGTTTGTAAAGATAATATCCATTCCTTTATATTTTTTAATCTTAAGAATTCACCTGAAAATTTCAGTCCTCCTCAAAGCAAGAAAAATGGCAAAAATACAAAGTAAAATCATTAATGATTTTTTTTTTTTCAAATTAAAATGAACTTTTCCAAAATGAGAATTTGCCCAAAATACATAGAAAAATTAAAAGTTCAGTGAAACTGAGAATAATACACAATAAAGTAAAAAATTCTTATCCACAATAAAGCAAAAAATTCTTTTAACACAAAACTGTGAGAACCTTCTTTCAAGTACAAGCTCGAAATAATGAAAATACCATTAGAATCTGAGATGTTCAAAGGGTGCCAGTTTAGCCTCTTTTGCAAAACTAAAAACTATAGTTGAGAAAGCTAACCATAGTTGAGAAAGCTATTTTTCAAAAGGTGAATTACTGCTACAAAGCAAAGAATTTTGAAGTTCAGGAAAAACTATTTCAAATAAATACTGACACATGAAATGTAAACTAAATAGAAGACAAAAGAATTATTCCCAATTTAAAAAAATATAAAACACTTCCAATTAAATTAAATTAAAGCTTCAATTAAAACTCAAATATAAATTAAAAGAATGGAAGATAATTGGAATAAAAAGAATAAATAGTATAAATAGGGGGGGGGAAGAACATTATAATTGATATATAAATTTCCAAATTAAATATACTTTAAAAATTGTCAGAGACTCAGATGGTAGTCAAGTACTTTGCATTTAAAAAACGAATGTAAAAAGTGCCTAGAAATCTCAAATGGTAAATTTAATATATTTAGAATTAAAAAAAAAAAAAAAAAAAAAAAAATACAAATTTAGTCTCAAGAAAAATGCAAAGCGAAGTAAGAAAAGGAAGTAGAGGACAAATGTTAGAAGAATATAAAGTCATGGTCTTATGACAACTTGAAAATGGGAGGGCCTATGGTTAATGACAACAAAGCAAAGGAACTAAAAGAAAAAATTAAATCAAAATTAAACCTATATTAACTTTCTAAAATGTCCTTCTTTATCCTTTTCTTTTGAAGCTTTCAGATAAAAAATTCATACGTTTATAAAGCTTTATAGGGTGTAGACTTGTACAGTTTTTTTAGAAAACTGTTAATGAACTTAAATAGAATTTCATTTTCTGTTAAGGTTTTGGTGAGAATTAATATATAAATGTTTCTATTTGAGTACAAATTTTTTAATTCTGCAAATTTGGTTAATAATTGTATTTGCTATAACTTTTTTTAGATATGATGGAGTTTTACTTTATAAGTTTAATAGTATGAAAATTAAATTCTCTTATTTTATCAAAAAGTCTAATTTCTTTAAGATTATATATACTGAGATCCAGATAATCTATTATTGTTTGATTTTTGTTTGTCTTATTTAGACAATCGAGGTAGATATTGCAATTTTCTATGATATTATAATTATTGAAAATAATAATGTCATCAGTATACTGAAAGTGTGGTCAGATTTATTGAAATCATTATCAGAAAGGCTTTTAAGAAACTTAAATTCTTTAGAAAACAACAATAAGTTACAAGGATGACCTTGAATAGGAACTTCCAATTTGGAATACCATGTGTTTGTACAAAAAGAAATTTTGAATGTTTGATATAATTATTGCAAAGTGACAAATGTAGAAATTCTATCCATTTTTGTAAATCCAGAATAGTAAGTATTTCAGGAAAAAATGTGGCTAGCTCCAGAAAACTTTTAAAAATTTCTTTGAGTGGTAGGGACAAACAGAGATTTTCATAGCAGTTAATATTGTAGACTTGAAGATTTTTAACGTTTTCAATAATTTGCAAGTTGTTGTAAATAATCCAGCAATAGTTTTTATAAGTTTTGTTTTTATCAAATAGATTTAAGTAGATTGGTAAAAATATTATCAAAATTCTTCTTGATGTTTCTAATACTATTAGCAATAAATCTAAATTTTACAGGAATTTTTATGAAATTTAGGTAAAGCATAAAGATTAGCAAATCTATTCTTTGTAGTGAATAAAGAAATTCCCATTTTGTGAAAGGCAGAAACTTTTTTAATAATAGTTCTTTCTTTATTTTTGGAGATATAGGTAGCAGAATTTTTCAGTTCATTTTCAATAAGCATATTGTAGAACATTTTTCACAAAATACAGAAATTTTTGCTTGGTTTACAAATTTTGGTAATTGTAAATTGTTTTTCTAATTGCAAAGTCCTCAGAAATAAATTTTTTGAGTTTTTAATTCCTTTAAATGCTTTAATGAATTCAGTTTTCTTCCTGCTTCGATTTATAATTTTATTGTTCCATTTGTTAAATAGATGAGAAGGCAATCTAAGTTGAGAACTTGCTTTAATTATAAAATTATCAATATCTGTAGGAAATGCTATCAATGCAGTGTAATTTAAAAATGTACCTTTTTTCATATGCGGCTTAATTTCCCGATCTTGAACAGTGTCAAGATTTCCTATAACATGCTTGTGTTAGTATGTGTAGTAAATTAGTATTTATAGAAGTTTATTCTTCTTTCCTCTGGTAGCCCTTTCTGTTTTCTTGCTGAAGAGAGCATAAAAGTTCAGATTTACTATTGATAGAAGAATTTAATCCATAAAGACGTTCTGAATTGTAAAACATACAGAGATTCCTTAAATAAACAGGAAACAGGAATTTTTAAGATTAGGCTATTACTATTTTTAAGATTAGGCACAATATCCAAAATCTGTATAGCAATATTATTTGAAGTCGTGAAAATAAAAATGTTCAAGTTCCTTGGTAGTGGAATTAATACTATCACAAAAACCTTTTCGGTTGATTTGTTTGTAAAGCAGTAAATAAAATAGATCTGTAGTTTAGGCTAAAGTTAGTAAAATAACAGTATTCAGATGTGAGAATCTCTAAAACAATGCTTAATGTGATTAATACATGAAAAGAATTCCATATATTTGTGATTCTTTCCATGTATTTCTGTTTTGACTTTCTTGGTCTTCTTGAGTGGCCTTGTTTGGGTGGCCAGATTAACTCATTTATCCATTTTTATTGATTCTAGTACACTTTTCAGGAGACTCAGCTATTTTCCTGTTTATAATTTGTATTTAGTTTCAGTTACATGCCAGTATACTCTTCCCATCCCCATCATTTCAAAATAGTATTGGTTATTTATTGTTTTGGGCATATTACTAAACAAAAATTGTCTTTTTAAAGCCTTTTTTCAACAATATTTAACTTTTTCTTCCATTTTTTTAGAGAACGAAAGGGGGGATTTAGATTAAAAAATTAAATACTTGTGTAGATATTCTTTTGTTATTTTTTTAAAAGAGATGTGTGGTAGTATTGCAGTCTGAGAAAGATATATTTCCTCTGTTTTGTGCAAATATTCTATTTCATATACAAAACAAAAGTTGTAAAGTTTAGTGTGTTATTTTTTTTTTTTATGATAATGATGCATTTTCATTGGTTAAGAATGTATTTATTAAATTCTAAAGTTAATTGAAATATAAATCAAACTGAAACCTGATAAAAATAATGGGTACTTTTTCATTTTGCTGGCGCAGGCAATAAATAGTATAACCGATAAATAGTACAATAGGCCAAAATAGTATAATAGGCGATAAATAGTACAATAGGCCAAAAATAGTACAACCGATCCCAAACGAAATATGCTCGCTGGTAACCTTTTATGCCTCATTTTATAAACAAGTCGCAGCCATTTCTTATCAGATTGATTGTTTCTTTCAATACTGGCACACAAATACATAAAAATTTTACCAGATAGTTGAATTTTATGCCTAAGGCCATTTGCGGTAATTAAGTCAATTAGGATGCAATCACCCAAAGGCAAAAATATGGAAAAGCCAATGTAAAGGGTTAAATTCATCAATTCTAATGAGAATGCACTAGCGAAGTAAAGCACTGCGGTTTTACATAATTACTGAGTAAGCTATTTGTATGAATTGAAATAATTCTTGCATTTAAACTTGTATTCCATATTAGGATTTAACTTAAAAATTAATGTAGATAATTACTGAGAGAATTAGATTTTTGTATCCTAGTTTACATGAGAGGAGATCGCTTGGGGTCGCGTGATATGAACCAGCGAATCAGGATGCTGCACCTTGAAAAGATAGTAAATTCTTAAATTAATGTCTTTTTACAAAATTTGGAACATTATTAAAATGTTTATGCCTTCAAAATTAAAAATTCTTACAACCAACATTGGTTAACACTTTTTATGTGTATAGTTCGTAACAGCAGGCCTCCTTGTAATTAAATGTGTTAGAATATCTCTGCACTAGAATTGCATGAAGTTTTACGATATAAACTTGTTAAGAATGGAATCTATATTTAAGTGTGCAGAGCAAGCAATCTTTCCATAAAAAAAAAAAAAAGAATTAAAGTTTCAAATATGCACCCAGAATCATTGCATCAAAATGTAGTTGATGTTCAATTTTCATCCTTTATATCAATTAAATTTCTTTATTTAATCAGGTTTTTAATATATTGAACTGTTTGCATATAAACCTCAGTTTTCAAAACTTTTTTCCTCCCATCATTTTTCTTTCCCCCCTTTTGAAAAATTTCCCTTTTTTTTTTTTTGTTCATTTGTCATATGTTATGTTAAACAAAATACAATCTTAAATATAAATTATTTTTTTTTCCAGTTATGCGTACTCAAGGCAGTCTTCGTGTGGTGCTAAATACAAAAGTCTGGGCTGGTATGTCAGTTGAACATCCTAGCCAAAAAACTGTGCGCTTAACAGCCTTTGATCCTCAGGGAGTTAAAGTTTTTCTTGTAATGGTATGTAAAATTTGATTCCTCCCCCCAGTAATATTATATAGCAGTTTATGTATAGAGCCAAATTATTAGGCTTTTATTTTTCTGTGTAGGTTTTGTGTAGATTTTTTAAAAAATAAATACATGCAGCTGTCTGAATATTTATTACATTATTAAATTGAAGTATAAACTCGTGAGTAAAATGTACTTCTTTCACTTAATTGGGTATTAACTGATTAAACTAAATTAAAACTACTTATATGAAATTATGATAAGCAAATTTCTTTATTTTGTTGCATCTGTAACATTAATCCCTGTTTAATTTCATGCTTTGATCCATACATTCTTAGCAGTAAAAGTTAATTGACAACTTTTACTGATCACTATTTAATTAAATTTATTTCATTAAAAATTGAACAAGCTAACTAGGGGCTGAGTGGCTAAGGCTGTGGAACATTAATTATTAGTTTTTAGTTATGTTCCTTGCAGTGAAATGAACTGTCTGCATGAAATTTCTTATGTAACATAAATTCAGGCCAGTTTTCTTTGAGAAACTCTTGGGGGGGGGAGAAAGGTTTATAAGCTTGTCAGATGGTCCTTTCATGATTTACCTCATTCAGGTTGTCCAATCCTTTCCAGGAATGAACAGATATTTAATAGAGAAATTTATAGAGTCATCCAAAAAGTTCTGCAATTTTTTCATGATAAATACACTTTTAGTAATACAAAAATTGAATCGCATAAGTACCATTTTATTCTGTGAATTTTGTCATCTCTCTGGGAGCTGTAAAATTCCTTTTTTAAATATGTCATTAAGTTTGTTTGTAAAGCTACTACCATGTGGCTTTCAGCTGTAAGAATTAAGTCATAACATTGTTTTTGAAAGCTTAGATTTCTCACACTACTAGACGCTACTTCGGGCTGTGCTGAGTTGCCCCTCAAACAAGGCATTTGTCTCCACACAGTCGAGAACGGATGTTTTTAGCACAATATCATCCGAATGAAGATAGTTTTCTTGAACACTTGTTATGAGCAATGGGACTTGGAAACTTTATTTCACATTAAAAATCAACTGTTAATCACTTAAAAATAAAATTGCCCTATAGATTTTAAGAAAAAATGAAAATTCAGTCAAATAATTTTCACTAAGTCATAGTGAAAGTTTCTGAAAACTGTAAGTGTGGATTTGATATAGGACATATCATAAACTTTTGTGAGTGGTGCAAATTAATATTACAAAACGTTTAAAGTCGAGCTGATAACCCCTTCGAGCCGGGTAGCGAAAACACGCGCTTATCGCGGAGGCCGGCAGTGTCTTACGCGAGCGTCTCTCCAGGTCCGGGGGCTTTTTTGCTACTAAGCCTAAATCCATGAAATTTCCGAAGTATAAACGCATTAATAATGCTCTATAGAGTATTTAAACGGCTTATGCTTTATGGATATTTATATATATATACTTTAATTACCTTATTTCTTGTTTAAATGCATATTTTACACATTTTATTTTAATTACTCACCATTTTATGACTTTTTAACATTATACACCTGAAAACTAAATATATTACTTAAAATTCTCTTTTCGTATGAAAAATTTGAAAACAGGGATCTACACACAATCCTACATTACATTACTTGCAATCGTAATAACTCATTTGACGTTTTGGAGGATTTTTCCGGGAATGTGAACAAACGAAGCATCGTCGTCTCATTTTCTTATCAGTCTCTTCTGAACAAAGTTTTGGAAAACGTCTTTCAGTTAATCTTTCAGAATCAATATCAAAATATCAGAATTTCAGAATCAATATCTGAAATATTTTGCATCATTTCTGCTATTTCATGCTCTGTTAAACATTTTCGACGCTTCGACATTGCAACAGTAAAAACAGAAGGAATTCACGTCTAACAAGATCTAATTATTTTCTAAAAACTGAACTGTAAACCGAAATACTCAACGCTTTAGCTCATATAAATCTTCTACTTACAATAAACAACTACCACGTGCGAATAAAGTGCGATTTAAAGAGATGTCATAAATCACGCCATTCGGAAACATTTAGTTCCCCGTTTGTTTATATAATAAAAAACACATGTATGTGAGTCATGCTTCTCTCATAGTCTAGTAGTAGAAGTAGTAGGTCTAATGTACATGTATCTGAAACCATATGGACATATAGTGCCATCTTGTGGCAGAAATTATAGTTTCTAAAACGTTCCAGGATACTGGCACAAATACGTGACAGTCGGTAGTAAATAGGAAAATGCTCTGGCACGCCTGCATGTCAGCCGGGAGGTGAGTGTGTTCGTTGCTGGCATGTAGACGTGACAGTCGGCGCGAAGGTGTTAAACATCAGTCACACAGAACCCTTTCTTGTGGTATTGTTTTTCTTCAAAACACTGTCATCCTGTCACTACTCTTTTTAATAAAGTTTTGCAAACTTTAATTAAAAAATGTCTGCAGCTAAGTAGTTTGTACTATATATATATAAGGGTGAGCCAAATTAATTTTTTTTTTTTTTACTGTACCTGGGAAAAGTTATCTATTGCCTTTCTAAGAAAAATGCAGAAAAAAATTAAAGTATTAATTACATCTTCTGTTTGCACATCACACTCAGACTTCTGATGTTTTTTGTAAATTTTTTGCTGTTATTAAACTCACTGCTATTGAAATGCTATAGATCCTAATGTGAATTTTGGGTCATGAGGAATGTTGAAAAAGCTTAAAACTGATATTTTCAAATTATTTATTGTTTGGGAAAAAAAAAAAAAAAAAGAAAAAGAAATGGAGGGGGGGGCCCTAAAAATAGCAATATTTCTTAAATTTTGCTACAAACTGTTTTAAATGGTGACTATATTGTGTACTTGTAAATATTGTGCATATTTTAAATATGATGTAACTATGTATGTGACAACTTTTTTGGACAATTCTTATGTTGTCGTCAAAAAGAAAACTATAGCAATAAAAACTTAAAATAACAATAATTTGCAAAATTAGTGCATTAAAGAAACACTGCATAATCTCTACTTTGAGGAAAGAAAAGCCGACGTGATGGCAATTAAAAAACAACTAATTCAAAGCATTTTTGAAGAACTGAAAAAGACACCCCATTATCTCCTTATACAAGAACCAGGATCAGAATACATCCCTGAAGTTTCTCCCTCCAACTATCTTTAGCAAATTTCAGACTTGCTAAAGATATAGTTTCTGTCATAAGTTCCTACATGACCATACATGAGATACCCCTTGAAGAATGTGATGTGATAGGGTGTGATGAAACTGTAATTAATACTGGTTTAAAAAATGGTGTTATCCACCGGATCGAATTTCAGATTGGGAGATCACTGCAGTGGTTTATACGATACCTACATTTCAATGAACTAAATTCTATTTCCTGTTTCATCTCTTGGATGTTGTTACCACGGGGTACATATCCTTTAGTAGACTCATGGAGAAAAACTTTGCATGTTTGGCTTGAAAGTGTTGAATTTTCCATTCCTCAAGTTGACAGAAAACTATTGAGCAAGGATAGGTTATACTTACTGGACATTTCTGCTGTCATAAAGCTAGGTATTGTTTCAGAAGATTTAGCTTCTCATGCTCCTGGTGAGCTTTCAGACTCAACATACCAGCAAATCAAGTTTTCAAACTTTATGTGATCTTGGGATAACATAGTGTTAAAAGTAGACAGTTGCTATATTTTATTTTGAATTGTTATGCACTTCTTTGGTTCAAAACCAAACAAAAATTTCACCAAACGATTCAAAGATAGTTTTTCAAGTCATCAGAGCATCACAATACCTAATTGAAAAATTACCGTTAAGTCATTAACCCATTAGTTCAGCTGAATGCTTTCTTTGCTCATTCCAAAAATTTGATCCTTGCAAATATTGGATGAAAGAAGACTAAGAGAACTAGAACTATGACAATACTTGAAAGCTCGATTAGTTTCCAAGAAGACTGTTCGAAACTTCATGCCAAAATTGAACTTCGAAGGAACAGACTACATCAGCTTGATTTGGTGAAATAGTTGCAAGTTAAGGAACATTTCAAACAAGGGCAGACTAACATTGAGGTGCACTCTTTGGAATAGCAAAATTAAAAATGTATGTGTTATATTGTTATAAATGTATGTTTGTATATTCACTAGTTTACTATTGGGGGGGGTTAGCCATTTTGTGCAAACAATAAATAATCTTGAAATTATCCAGGTTTTAAACTTTTTCATGTTCCTCATGCTTCAAAATGCACATTACGTAGAGTAGCATTTTGATAGTAGCGAGTTAAGCAATTGTAAAAAATTTACAAAAAGTTATAAAATTTCATTGTATTCCAGAGTTTTAGTGTGGTGCAGGAACAGAAGATATATTTTAACATAAAAAAACTCTTCCTCCCCATTTTGCGTAGCTAGGCGATAGGCAAATTTTCTAAAACGTTGTGATAGAATTTGTTTTAAAAGTGTTTTTTCAGCCCACCCTATTGTGATATATATCAGTGATTGAGGTCATATATTGTTAGTTTTTGCTGATTTATGTTCAGATAAGAGGAAATAAAGGAAAGTAATTTGATTTAATTTGTTGTTTAATTTAGGCTCAACCAAAAGATGCTGAACAGTTATTCAATGCTTTAGACTGGAGAGTGACAGGTCTGAGGTCTAGAGAAGATTATTATCTCAGGAAAAGTGAAAACCAGTCAACAATAGAAGAAGCTACCAGTTCTTCCACTCTACCAGATGCTTCTTGTGATGACAGTTTTCATGGCTCTCCTATAAAACGAAGTCGTACATCAGAAAGTGGTGATTTTGGAGCTGACAGTAGCACAGAAATAAGTATTGTAGTGCATGATACAACTGGTGAAACTGGATCAGATGGTTTTGCTGATTCAACTGATGTTCAGTCATGAAAAGACAAATGAAACAAATAAACTGAGCTGAAGAAAAGCCATCTCTGTTTTGCCATATTTTTTATGGTTACCTTTTATATGTTGAAGTAAAAAGCGCTGTTTCATATTGGACATTCAATGGCAGCGTTTAGTCACGTGGATAGACTTTATATAATACAAAACTCATCTGTTTTTGTGAATTAGACTGCCTTTCCAAATAGGTCCATGAAATGCCAAGCTTGATATGTTCAGTCCACTATAACAACCTACTTATGGAAATTGTATTTTAGGTTTGAAATTGCTGATTTTTGTATACTTCCAGTTTTCTTATTTTTTTAAAAATGTGAATGGGGGGGGGGAGGGAAGGAGTATTTCAGCTTAAATGTATAAAACTAGGTTTCTTTTACCTACTAGCATAACTATTTAGGTTAATTGAGGAAATATTTTGTTACTGATTTATAATTTTAATTAAATTTCCTTTGTACTTTTCATACTTAAATGTTAGTACCTTTCTTTTAATACTGTTGTTAGGATTCAAATTTCATGAAGCATTGCAAAGAAAATAGTGCTCTGTGATTAAATTTTGTGCCTTGTGCATAATTTTATTTTGTGTAAAAATACTTTTAATTTTTTAAAATTTGAATTAAGATCCAAATTTTGATAATGGCCAGCTGGGAAGAGGTTTTAAGTTGAATTCCATGTTTTGCTATTTTATTAATGTTTTCAATTAAAGTACCTATTTCCATATAAGTTTGTTATATTTTAGTAACTTTAAATGTAGCAGAACTTAATCATACGTAGCATGTATTTTACTTTCTTAGTTATAATGCATTTTATTTTGGACAGTTAATAAAATTTGTGGACATAACATTGTATATTGTAGCATTCCATCGAAACTTAAAGTTTTGTGTATTGTATATCAAGCTAGTGCATTAAAAAACTTTGCCTTTATCCACTATGCATTGTGTGACAGATGTGGATGTAATATTAAAAGTACTGTCATTTTCATAAAAAAAGCCCAGTTGGTTCTAAATTTAGTATTTGAAATATTCTGAATATGCACCATGTTTATGTTTGTTCTGAAAAATCATCAATGATGTGCAAACATAAGCAAAATAAAGAATTATTTATAAGTGGTATGGTGCTTTCTTTTGTAGTATTATTATATCTCTATATAGAAATAGCACAAAGAACTTACAGATGTTTTTTGAATAAACTACTCAAGCAATATAATATATATGTATAATTACTACTATATATATAATAATTATGTGATTTTATATAATTATTAATATTTAACAAGATCTTACTTTTTTGAGCAAAAGAAATAATTCTTACAAGATTTTATTTTGTAACAAAAATATTTCTGAAAAAGCTAGAATAAACAAACTCCAACAAAATTTATGCAAATTATAAAATTTTGTCAAATTCCTTGTATGCAGTTTTGTGAGAAATTACTTCTTTTTAAATAACAGTCGTATAATTACAACCACCAGTCACTGAATGAACTATTTTAACAAGGAGGGGGGTATTTACACAGAAAAGAAGTACTTCGTTCCTGGGCTTGAGGATTTATTGCCCACCAGTGTTGCAGCAGTAAAATGACTGTGTTTAGTGGCTTGAATGAGTGTCTACTCTACTTGAAATCTTTACTGAGCTCAGTTTCTTTATTCTTATATGTTGGTAAATTGTGCATTTTTTGCTTTAAAAATGACTGAATTATGTTGTTCTTATCTTCTGATTAAAGTTTTTGTGCGTTTAGTTAATCTGCATGCAGTAGAATTATCAACAATTTAAAAGTTGTTCAGTTTTTTACTATATCAGCCATATTTGTTTACATTTGAAACTTAGCAGAATAGTGGATTTGTTGCCAATCTAGTGAATCTAAGCTTCACAGGAACAAAGTACTTCTTTTATTAATGTGAATTAAATTATGCTAATCCATTCAGGAATTATCATTTAAGTTATTAAATTATCCCTTGTACTATACTGACTCAGCATAGGTGTTTACTACAAATTAAATCAGTTTCTACGCCTTCAGTATCCTTTTGCTGAGTGAGACCAAGTGTGTCAAGACTTTTTATGCTTTAAAATGAATATTCCTAATTATAACTACAGACCAGTACCATATATAACATTAGATTTTATACAACATAATTTTTAACAAGTTTATTCTTTAAATCATAAGATGTTTAAACACAAATACTTGCCTTATTTAAAACATTTTTGAAATCGAATGTATAACATCTATATAATATACATCAATTTCAAATAAAAATATATTGAAACACTTTTTATAATCTCAAATAAAAATTGTTATTGGAAAAAAGTGATAGGATTTAAAATTTAATCTCTTTAACCAAGTTTTTGATTATCTTAGGTGTTTATGATCCCAAGGATCTCGGATAATCAAAGTTCTACTCTACTAAAAATATTATAATATTCATATGTAGTTTTGTTACTAGGTCATAATCTAGTTATACAAAAAAGTTCATTGAACTACAAGCATGTTTCATTTCTGATTTACACCAAATTAAGTACAAGTAAGTGAATAATTTCATACATTTAACTACAAAAATCATGTGAGTATTTTTTACTAAATAAATTTTACAAATAATGACTAACATATTTCTAAATTAATGAATAACTACATTATGAAATCCTAACATATCTTTTTCATTAATTTGATTAAAATGAAAGAAATATAATACAGAGATATGCATCTAAATCATTCAGAAAAGGCAGATAAATTTTCTGGAATGGAAAATTTTGAAAATTGAATAAAATTTAAATAAAAGGTATTTATTCACCAAAACAATTTTTTAAAAGTACGTCGTTCATTAACCACTCGCACTAAAAAGACGTGCCACGCACGTCGAGATGCTTTTGTCTCAAACTGCGAGCGACGTGAACACCACCTTGATAGGCATTTATCGCAAAAATGAAAATTTCGTGGTCCACACGTCACCTAACAACGAGATTATTTCTTGAGTTGCAGCTCTGGATTGCACTCGCAGATGCGAAGTGGTGTAAATGAGACACTTCACCGCTTGTTATGTTGTATCGCATGGCACCGCAACCGTAAAGTTTAGTCATAGCGCAAGTGGTTAAAAATATTACTCGTGTTTAAGACTAAAAGAAAGATTATATCATATATATCCACTTTAAGGACAACCCAAGTGGAAAAATGGTTGAGATCACAAACTACTATTCTTTTAGACTCAAGTTTGACACTTGCTAACACGAAAAATTGCCTTTACAGTTGTTCATTTAAATTAGATATTTCATATTGTAAATTTGCTCAAAAAATTAATTCATACCTCAATCTTCTATCAATACAAGTTGGTTTTATGTCGATACTTACTTGATAGGACACGTCTATGTTCTAAAAATGAGTTTTGCAAGAATCTTTAAATAAGATCTGTTTGAAAAATTTGTATTGATGAAAACTTTTCATGTCAGTCTGCATACCAGTGCTCATCATTTAATCTATTGACATCAGAAACTTTTTCTTTAACATCAGAAGCTTTAATTCTATTTTTAGTTACGTGGAAATTTAAATATTTCACTCTTCAGTTTGTGTACAACCTCTGAATTTGCAGAAAACGATCCCAAACTTTAAAATTAAATCTCTGTTCTTTCCTAAAAGTCAAGCCTTTTGCGCTTAATGCTTCTTCCTTGTATGAAGTAAAGGAAGTATTGCAATTACAAAACATTCTGGGCATCATGCTTCAATTAAAATATACATTTTGACCGCTATTTGAATGCAATGTACGTAAGGGCAGAATGAAGGACTCTTTTTGTTCCCAAACGTATTATAAAATTAATTTAAAACGGATTCAGAAGAGATTTTTCTTGTGACGTCTTTGCTTATGTACTTACATATGCATGTATCTTGCATAACTCAAAAACAAGTAGCCTCAGAACATTGTAATTTTGTATGTTACGAGTGCTATAACATGTAGTTTTGCACCTCCCTTTTTAGTTGCAATCTGCTGCACCAAAAGCATATCACTCTGTTATTCGGCTCAATGAGCTCAGTTTTTAATTTTTATATGTTGGTAAATTGTGCATTTTTTGCTTTAAAATGATTGAATTATGTTGCTCTTATCTTCCGGTTAAGGTTTTTATGCCTTTAGTTCATCTGCATGTAATAGTTTTAGAATTATCAACAGTTTGACTCCTTAACTGCTGCGGGAATTCACAAAATTCAATTATTTGCAATACAAAAAAAGTTATATGTACTTTAATATAAATAAAAAACATCGTTATGAAGTGGTTTGTAATATCTAGCTTTCCTGGCCAATCACTGCTCTTGTTCTGAGAACCAATCAAATGTTAGTAACTGCCAATAGAAGCTGACATCATGTTTACACTTGAAACAATTCATTATTTTGCTATGTTCTGTAGAAGGAGGACCTGTTTCTTATACACTGCAATTACAAGTAGGAATTCTTGTAAAAATTTTTAATATTTAGTCAAGAAGCAATGACATCAAATAAAAGAGTAGATTGCACACCTAGAAAGAGATGTAATATTATTGTGTTACGAGAAAGTGGTGTTTCCTATGCGGAAATTGCAAGACAGGTGGGTGGTTCAGTGACTACATCTGGAGTCCGAAAGTTTTGTTTACGATATCAGGAGACAAATTCAATAAAAAACAAAGAAGGAAAAGGCCGAAAAAGGTATCTATTGATGACAGAAGAATAAAAAGACTATGTCTCCAAGATAGAAAAATGTCATCAGCGGCCATCAGAAATGATCTGAATAATGCTGGTGTTTCTGTCAGTTCAAGAACAATCAGGAGAAGATTAACGGATGTTGGACTGAGAGGTAGAATTCCACGAAAAAAGCCTTATTTTAATTTTCAGCAACGAAAAAAAAAAAAAAAAAAAGACTACAGTGGGCAAAGGAACACATTAATTGGACAGATGATCAGTGGTCACAAGTTATATGGAGTGATGAAACTAAGATATCGTTATTCGGTAGTGATGGGCGAAAATATGTAAGACGTAGAATAGGAGAAGAGCTACATCCTGACTGCATTCAAGCAACTGTGAAGAACCCAGTTAGTGTTATGATTTGGTCATGCATGTCAGCAGATGGTATTGGTCGTCTTCATGTCATCGATGGGACACTGAATGCCAGAAAATACATTGACACTATTCTAGAACCAAAACTTCTACCTTCAATCAGAGATCTCTTTCCCAACAATGCATCGTTTATTTTTCAGCAGGATTCTGCTCCTTGCCACATGGCCAAAATATCGAAAGAGTGGTTTCGTACAAAGATCATTAAATTGTTGTCATGGCCAGGAAACAGTCCTGACCTCAATCCTATCGAAAATTTGTGGCACCGTTTGAAAACTCTTGTCCGAATGAGGCGCTCATCAAATAAAAGGGAACTAATTGAGGCTATAATTGTTTCCTGGCAGTATGTAATAACGAAAGAAGAGCTTAAAACTCTTGTAAGCTCAATGAAACGTCGATGTGAAGCTGTAATCAAAAATAAAGGGTACCCTAGTATGTACTGATAACTCACTGCAATCATCACTATCTAATGTATATCGATAACTATTACCGTATAACTTTTTTGTATTGCAAATAATTGTATTTTGTGTTTTGTATTGAATTCAGTAATAAACTCTCTTTAAAATGATATATACAAGTTTGCATTTTGTGAAACGTAATGTTTTCTGTAAGCATACAAAGTTCAAAAACATAAAAATTTCCAAAAGTGTCCACAATTTTGGCCACCACTGTGTGTATGTTCTTCCAAACTACTATCATTTGCTTTGCGCTGCTACCCGTAAAATTATTTGCAACACCTTTGGAATGCAACATCACAATGACCTTGAAAAAGTATGCGAAGGAGGATACTATTTCAGAGAAGTGTGAGGAAGAAATTGGAGAGAGGGGTGTGTCTAAAGTAGTGAAAGTAATGACTGCGCGTTATTGCTGGTGTTGTTTGAGTAAAACATATTTTTTCTTATTCCGTGTCCTCCGTTTTCGTTTACTTTTTGTAGTAGGTTCCAGGACTACAAAAGGATATAACGGATGTTTCAAACCATTTTTATCTTTTTTGAATTATTTTTTGATGAACTGCTCGTGCTTCATATTGTTACTGAAACTAACCTTTT